CAGAGGCGACTCTCCCGACCTGTCCACGCTTTCCAAGGGCGCCGCCAAGGGCGTTGGCGCAGGAGGGGCGAGAGGGTCTATGGTGCCCCATGCCGGCAGTCCCCGACGGCGGGATATTCCGGCGAAGGAGCGCGCGGTTACTGTGGCACTTCGAGAGGCCCTGACGGAGGGGCCTGGCACTATACGGGCGTCCCCAGGAGAACGCCAGGTGGTCGTTGCAGTGTCCCTGGAGGACATAAGGGCTACGGGAGGCACCATGCAGCCGCGTGACCACCCGAGGCCATCGCCAACATAGTCTGACATGGTGCGTGAGGCGGCACCGGAGAGGGCAATGGAGGACGCAGGGAAGGCGAGGCGGCGGCAGGAGTGACTACCTGTGCAGGGTCAGCAAGCACTGATACTGAGGCATTGTGGCAGGAGAATCACCTCTCGCGCGGCCTCACCTGCCACCTGCTCCAAGATCCATCTCGTGCCAAGCCGCCCCAGTGACACACGATATCGCACGGATCACTTTGCACCGCAATATCAATCTCGTGATTTTCACTGATTTTTCAAACCCTTGTATCTAAATCCTTAGGAGTGTTTCAATCTTTACTCTTCAATTTGTTATTCACGAAAGCTTTATAAATACAGACTGATGAAAGTAAAATCAATTAACACAACTAGCTTCGGTTTCATGTCCTTATTTGTTCCCACGGCTTGTATTATGATCCATTTACATTTTGAAAGCAAACAATCAACCAAAATGCTCATTCATAATTCATTCATACACCCAAAAGACAAGTTCCCGACAAACTAAATCAACAAAGAAACACTTATAACTCAGTCCTATTTTAACTTTACAGGCGCCAATTTATCAGTCAGAGCTTTATCCGAACGACTTTATGATCCCCAAGCGTGAATTGCCAGCTGAACGTGAAAGTTGCTCTAAGGTTTATATTTTTAATCCACTAATGCCAGGCTTCAGCTCTCACAGGACGCTATCCAGCATATCAAGACGAAATGAGGATAGATAGTTTATCTCTTTCAACCACTCTTGCTTTTGATTTGCACAACATGGTATGATTAAACGTTAAATAATCCAAAAGTAAGTACCGATGCAGCCATCAGCTCCGTAGTTGGAATGAAATGCTAATCCCAGTCGCTACGAGTCACTGTCTACAGCGATGTTCTCATCATGAATCATTGGTGATAACCCTTGTCGACAGAAGTTATATTGCATTTTGAATTTCACAACACGAAATCTTTAATTAGAGTAGCACTAAAGAGAGTGATTCCATCATCAGAATATCACTAGAGAAACAGTGAAAGTTGAACTGTACTGCTATTGGACAGACCATTAGCCTACCATAAAGAGATCTGAATACATCATTATGTTGTTAATGCAGTGATAACTACATCTATCAGACATTCACGGAGCGATTAGTTATTATTACAGTACATATGAAAACTGTCCTTCAATCAAGTTCTATTTCTCACATATTAATACTTTTAATCATTCACTCCAACGATAAAAGAACAATTTTATTTACAAAAAAGCGAAAATACAACCCCACAAAAGAAAATTATATACCCTAAACACACCAACGTCTTTCAAAGAAAAATCATTCTAAACGCAATTAAAAAATCCATTTGTTAATCAGAAACAAAAATGCTATACACATTTTTCTTAGGCAGACAAGGACGAAGGCAACGGTCACACTACAGCCACTTGTGAGGACGTGAGCACACTGACGACACTCGGATGAGACGCAGCCTGAAAGCCCCTCGGCACTGTGGACGCCACGGGTCTCGCTCCACACACTCCAAGCTGGGTCAGGCTCGAGTATTAGTACAGGGTCAGATCATGGAAATCAGGCTACTGCTGTCAGTACCTCGTGCCCAGCGTGGGGCTCGAACCCACGACACTGAGATGGCAGTCTCATGCTCTAACCTCTGAGCTAGCCGGGCTGATGAGTTAGGGCAAGGAATTGCAGACGCCACTTTTGCAAGATGCCACACACATAAGCTAGACACACCGACAAAAAATCTTGATATTACGGGAATCGAACCAGCTCCCTTTTCAGTCGATTACATGGCCACAATCTGATATATCACACTTGATTCCAGGGTTCTCGTGCAGTATTTTTTTACGTATCACTGGAGTTCTTTTTGTTTATAACCATAATCTGATTTCCTATTCATATAAAACTCTGGTACGGTAGCACATACTTTCTTGAACTGTATGATTGTGGGATCTAATCCAAGGAACGTTCGCACAGTCAACACACGTCTACACGTTTGCAAAAGTCTATACAAAAATAGCAAATAATTCTGCGAACAACACGTGGCTCGTACACTGTACACGCGGTCACGGTCTGTACGGGTGAAGCACGCAAATACGCCGCGGAACACCGGCACACACACGGAAGCACCAAAACAGCGCCGCTTCGGAAGCACTGCGTGTACGACTCACACACGACGACGACTCTCTCCAGGAGCCGAGCACCATCAACCACCG